ACAGCAACCTGGCTTCCCACAAACATTTTATGTGCATATGTTAGGCTGAACAATACTCATTCTGTGCACGGAGTCACACTTAACAACAAAGTGTACCTGACTTTGTATATTAAATCAAAAACTCTCAGCAGCTCGTGTCTGCCGCACTGGAGCAGGCAGAAGCTCATCACAAACTTTACGCTCCTCAACAACATCAACCGTCTCACAAAATCACTGGTAACACACTTGACTTGTTTTGAAGAGCGCCAAATAGAATCATTACTCTCTATTTAAGGAAATGTGTCGAAACACCGACACTCTGGAGTCTCGACGGTCTAATCACAAGAAGATTAGTTTAAAAAGACAGTGAAGCAAACGCTGACAGTCTGACTGCGACGCAATCATAACAAAGGAGAGCAGGATTTAAAATAGAGACTTCAAAATGACAGAAAAATAAGAGGCCGTCATAACAATTGCACTATCAGCCATGTGAAAATAGGTTTTGAGCAAGGAGGATAATATGATATTCAATAAACAGAAGCTATTGTTGTGTTGTTGTCTCAGCCCAACTGCATGACTCAGTATAAGACTGTGTGCTTGTATACCAGATACCAGATGGTGAAGGCTACTGCTGTGTCCTTGGGGGACCCACCTTGTTCCCAATGTCTGCAACATATATATAGTATATTGCACCCCAATACGGAAGTGCTCATTGACAAAGTTTCACTCCAAATCGCGCTGCCTCCTGATATTTACAGTACGTTGGGCAGCACGGTAGCGCAACGGTTGAAGCAAGAAGGTCCTGGGTTTGATTCCACCTCCAGGCCTTTCTGTGAGGAGTATACATGTTTATGTCTGTGTAGGATTGCTCCAGGTGCTCCGGTAAAAACAAATACAATAGGTATGAATTTAAGGAATGAGTGAATGGATGGTGGTGGTTGGGGCTTTGATGTGCGGCGTCTTACTCCTGTCATCACTGCGTGTGGAGTGAATGAAAAATATCTGAACTCTGAATATTGTAAAGTGCTTTGGTTGACCTTGGACTGTAAAAATGTGCTATGAATAAAAAAATTATTGACTGAATAAAAAATGACTTACTTACTTACATTGAACGCATGTATATTTACATTGAATACATTTAAAGTCCTCAAGCTCAGTAACCATTCTGACCTTTGAATCATTTTGGTCTTAGAAATCTGTGGTTTAGCGCTCGCTATGATCCTGGTGTTTATAAAATGATAATGTCTTTGTAAATCCAGATTCTGGACATGAGGGTGACCAATCAGATGTCACCAGACTCAGTTGAAAACTCTAGCCTGCCCTAACAACCATTTTAGTAACACATCTGCCCCTGTTACGGTGAGAAGCTAATGCCGTCTGAACAAATAAGCAAATTTGTTCCGGCTAGCTTATGTTCAAAGCAGCCTAGCTTTTCCACATTCAGCTGACACAATGGGTGACATCAGCCCACGGTTCAGTCCACTCCTATTACACAGTCTATGGTAATAGACTATAAATAGTTAAAGCATTAAAGGGAATTTTATATCTTAGCACAGACAACTATTGGGCAAAAGAGTTCAAAGAGCCTTATTTTACATAACTTAACCTATTGTGGAAACGTGGATTTACTTGAATTACAAAAATATTCTTTAAATTAGCAACATTTATTCTAGAAGAGTTCTAAGAAAAACAAAAAAATAAAGGCCCTCTGGTATTCTAAACGCTTTAAAGTGACATGGCTATTTTTAAAATATGCAAAGGCATATACAGTACTCAAAGACTGTTTATTACAAAAGAATACAGTACAATTTTGGCAGGAAATAAATCATCCTGTATCCTTAGCTTGTGTGTGGTTGACAGATAACAAAATGCAAACAATAGCAAAATACCAATGTTTTAAAACCGCAATCCTGTGTCCTCTACTTCCAACAAAAACATTATGTAACTCTGGAGCTGGTTATTTCAATCGTACCAGCGTCTCACTTTGAAGTCTGGAAATGCACTTGTTTAACGCTCACTATAACTTTGACATATGTGCAGGTGAACGGCCTGTTATTATGATTTGTGCCTGTGTGGCGTCAATAGGCATGACGCAGCTAATTCTCACTGCAGAAGAAAGAGCAGGGTAAACACGTTTACATCTCGACTGGCAGCTGCGGAGTCAGAGGCATGGTGCTGGTTTATGAATGAGCTGTTATGCAATACAAAGTCACTTTCTGAATACTGACTTTCAGAGAAGGAGGGAGGGAACACAATGGTGGTTGAAAGCTTTCTGTATTATATTCATTCAATACAATTTCAATCTATTTTTGTATCGCGAAACCTAAATCACAACAGTAGTTATCTCGAAAGACTTTACAAAGCTGTCGATTCGCCAACACAGATCAGAGAATCAATCAGTTCAAACACAAGAAATGCAAAGATAAAAAAATACATAGAGCCATTGGTCCATGTAGAGGCAGAGGATCAATGTCCATAAATGTTAATAAATTGCCGTTGAATGTCGAGTATCCTGGATCATCGCCACTGTACTCAGACTCGAAAAACCCAGTGGGAGAAAAGTGTATTATGCTCACTTGATAGGTTATGAATATGTGTAAATAACGTGTATTTGTATTGTTGACATTATATTTCCTTTTAATTTATTGATTTATTAAAGGGACAGCGCATATAAATATACATTATATTGGGCGGCACGGTGGCTGAGTGGATAGCACTCTCGCCTCTCAGCAAGAAGGTCCTGGGTTCAAATCCCGGTTGGACCAGGGCCTTTCTGAGTGGAGTTTGCATGTTCTCCCCGTGTCTGCGTAGGTTTCCTCCGGGTGCTCCGGTTTCCCCTACCACTAAAAATATGTACAATAGGTCTGGCATGTGCCTCCTGTACTGGCGACCCCACTCCCAAAAATAACAATTGTAAACCGCTTTGAGACTCCGATGTGCAGTGAAAAGGCGGTATATAAATAAAGATTACTTACTACTTACTACATTATACATGTAAATATTCCAGAATTAGCCTAAGGGCTATGTTCCATCTGTAGTCCCAGGACAGTTGTTATGTGTCCTCCTGAAGGGACTAAAATTATACTTAACATAATCGGTTTTCTGATGTATTTGCTTATTCATTTGTTCTGTATGTATGTGATAAAATAAATCCACAGTCTACAAAACAAAGCCTCATTACTTTTGTCCGGGTTTGTTTCAATCTAAGAAACTATATCAAATTCATGTTCAGGAAAAGTAATTATTTGGTCAAAAAGCCTTCATGATTACAAACACTCACAGATACAAACAATGAACTATACAACTTTCCACAAACACTTGATTCTTGGTTTTCTTGATTGTGTCTCTGTTCTACAAGCCCAAAAGTCACCAGTAACTCTCTTCTGTTAATGTCAAAGAATGAGAAAATTGCAAAGTTTGTAATGTAGCTGTTTGTTATATTTATCCAGGAGCAAAACCTTGTGTGTGAAGTAAAATTGTGTGTCCAATTTTGGTGTTTTGCTTCTATCTGTACATCTGCAAAGATCTGACTGCTCTGATGTTACATTTATGGACATTTTTACCGATGTATTCCAATGTGGTTTTACGGAAAATGGCAAATAAATTAATCTGAATCTGAATCTGAATTTACCAACACATCTGCCACTTATGGAAAACCAATGCATTTTCTGTTCCATTTCTTGTGTTTGAACTGTTTGATTCTCTGATTTGTGTTGACAAATTTAACAGTTGTGTAAAGTCCTCAGAGATACTGTAACTACTGTAGTGATCTAGGGCTATACAAGAATAATTTGAACTTACTTTAATTGAATGTTCATTTGAGACCCCTGTTCCAAGGTATTATCAAAATATAAACACCAGGATCAAGTAGAGCGGTGAACCACATATTTTTGAAGCCCAAAAATGAAAAGAAATGAAAGGCATGCTTGTATAACAACAGAATACTTACCTCTAACAACAACTACAGTAAATGAGTCATCCTCTGCATGTGCGTGCTCAAACACATCAGGAATCTGGAGTTCGAATCATGAAAAGCATTGGCACTCAGTCTACAATTATTTTACAGTGGAATTGCCTTTACAGTTTGTTGAATGTGTAAAATCTTAAACTTTATGTAACAGCCACTAACCCAGACATAGTGGCTTCTCTGTCCTGTTGTAACCTGTTTTGTTCTGTTATCAGCTGTGGTGTTTGCAATGTTTACAATATGAATCACTGTCTGAACCAAAGAGAAAACAAATGACAAGTCAGCACTCGAAAATAAATCATTTTCAAGGCTGATTGAAGATGTACCTCTCAGAAGCTAAGCAGTGTGGGGCCTGGTTAGTACTGAGATGAGAGACTGCTTATTGAATACCAGGTGCTACAGTGGGACAACTATAGTTATGGTAAGATGGTCCCACCACTATATACTGTAAATACTGGTAGATGAATAGTTGGAATGTGTTTATGTGTAGTGTAGGTAGAAATTTAGCCTTTGAGCCCTTGAGCTTATGTATTTTGGATATTTGCTAATGTATGTATACTGTGTAAATACACTTGTACAGTTGGAACATGAAGACTTTATTTGAAAGAACAAATAAACAAAACTCAATTTTGAGAATTTGTCAAAAAGTTGTATTCCTAGAGTATTCAGCATGTTGTGTTATTGGGAATTAAAATGAAAGGTTTTTTTTTTTTTTAAGGGATCAAGAAGTTTTTAAAATACATTTCTAAAGTATTTGTTAATGTACTCTTCATAGTCTATTACATTTGTAATAAATTGTTTGATAAGGTTTAGGGTAAATATAATTTAATAAACTAAACTTTAAACTGTTCTTGCATTTTTGATAAAACATTTTTTTTAATAATATTACATAATCAAAGGGATAGGGACAGTGTATAGTAAACATTGACCTCAAAGGGAGAGATGCATTGTACCAGGTTATAGCTCACTACTACTACAGTGTAATGTGTACTTTTTTCTGTCAAGAGTCAGCCCTGAACGAACTGTCCACATTCAGTATTTCTTCAGCCGATATCTAATCTGTGAAAGTGTGTAAACAGAGCTGATGTGGACCTCTGCATATCAGTGCACATCGATCATCATTGTCGCTCATGTTAGCGTTGACGTGCTGTTGGCTAAGGCGGGTGGTTCCCTCGTGCTGTAAAAAACAGCGCAGGGGAATGAATGAATGAAGTTAATCATCCACAGCTAACATGGCATAGACTGGCGCAGACTCAATAGAGGAGTCAAAATCCATCATTCAATCAGGGTTCAGATTGGTCATGTCAAAAATATTTTAAAAATCTAAAGATATTAGACGTAAATTGGTATAAATGCAATCTTTAAGGATTAGTTTAGCCACACACAAAAGAGAGAGAGAGAGAGATAAAAAAAAAAGATCAATTTAATTATAACAAATACAACTGGACCATTGCACATTTTATCAGCAGGGGCCTTCAAAGAGAATGTTAACATATAGTATTTTGTGAGTGATATAAAGGAGAGACACTATGCAAAATATATACCTACATCTAATCCAATATAAAACATTTTAACCATGTTACAACATTGTTCCCTGATCAAAAACAGACCTGGTGTTTTTTTTTTTTATCCATTCCCCTCCTGTCTAGAAGCCTGAAATGGTCTTCGAACAGTCTTGAAGGAGTTCTCAGAGATGTTTAGCACTTGTTGGCCCTTTCGCATTCACTCTGTGGTCCAGCTCACTCCACAACCATCTGGATTGGGTTCAGGTCCGGTGACTGAAGGCCGTGTCATCTGGCCCGGCCTCCACCACTCTCCTTACTGGTCAAACAGCCCTTACACAGCCTGGTGTGAATCTACAGTCAATAGGCATGAAAAGAAAGGACACTCATTGAATGAGAAAGTGTGTCCAAACTTTTGTTTGGACACAAACTAAAGTTTGGACACACAAAGTTTGGACACAAAATCCTCACTACACTACACACAGTGTAGTGAGGCTTTTTTAATGGTTTAAAATACTTTGTTGTGGATATATTCAAGACTATAAAAAGATGGAGAAAGTTATTTTGATAAATGAAATTAAGTTTTGAAATGAAGGGAGGGATCTTGGAGTGTTCACATGCGCACATTTGTATTATAGGAGCTGCTGTTTATGTGTAAACCTGCATCTTGGGCAGATAATTATGCAAACTATGAAATATGAATCCCATCTGTTCTTTAAATAGGTTCAAGCACATATTCGTTCATCATCCATCCAGCTGCGTACCTAACTTTCAAACTACAAAACATGTAATGAAGTTCATCTAACGATTTCCTAACTATCAAAACAGTATTTTTGTGGCCTCTGTGACATCTTGAGATCCACCTTTATCAGACAGAAAAGTGAACAAGAGAGGACCACCATCAGTCAATCAGCTCTCAGCTAAAAGCGTCAAATAGTGACTCAAAGGTCACTATTGAATTTGACTTTCCTAAGTACGCATAATGTTTTCTAATAAGATCAAGACAGCATTATGTGTAGTCTGATATTTTCCCCAATTTTTTTCTTTCACTAAACTGTTTCTGTTTTTGGACAGCAAAAAGTTAGGTAACCCAGCTTTAAGCAAAGATAATAGCCTGGTAAGCTGCCTCTTGTTCCATGCCACTAATAGACATCCAGGCAAAACTTCTTGCCAAGTGTCTGTTTCCAGTAAAGTTAGGTGAGTGACAGCCCCCGCTTCAACCGGTGTTGCCTTCAGGGACCTCTGTGATTTCCGACTCTGCCTGTGTTTCTATGCAGCAGCTGTTAAATATAGAGGAATGCTTGTTGTGCAACTTGCAAAAATCACCCCGTATACTGCAAATCATATGTTTACATTCAGATATGCAATGTTCTGCATTTGTAATAAATGTTGTTGATATGAGTAAGCAAAATAATGGTAGTAGTTAAGTAAGTGATACAAGTTATTTGACATGTGACTGTGATACATCCACGTGGTCTGTGTGGTCAAATGTATAAAGTCGTCTTTTACTGATGACAATTGTAATGCTACAGTAGGCATATTTTCATGTTTTATATTTGTCCCCAGACGCTGTTAAGCCTAGTGTATATAGTTGCGCGGTGCGGAGCTTAAAAGTTACAATGCACCAATTCTCGAGGTCGGCGTTACGTCACGAATCATGTGACCTGCGTAGCAACCAACCGCCGCCATGTTTGAAGGGTAAAACAAACCGAAGGCGAATCCAAAAGGTATCTATTTACATATGTTTTGCCGTGGATTATGTCAGTTATGGATACTAACGGACAACTTTGAATTATTGATGAATGATATCTGTGTATGCGAATGTATGTTGGTGGTGTAAACATTCAGGGCTTGCTTAGCTGGAGGCAGGAATCTAAATTCCTATCTATTTCCATTGTAGCTGTTGTCATAGTAACAATAAAGAAATGTCTAACTGTTGTTGGAAATATCAGATAAACCTTATTTTATTAACGCAAATGTCATTCCTCTTGTTCTTGCACCTTAAGCCACAACAGGACCACCTTTTTCAGTTGTAGTTTTACACTTATAATCGCCAGTTTTAGTTTACATTCACTCCATACATGTGAGATTAAACACTCATGTAAAGCGCTTTGTGACTAGCTACATGTCTGTGAAAGGCACTATATGAATACAGATCTTCTTCTTCTATTGCAGCATGTCATATCAGTATATTGACAGTCTCCTAGCGCCTGCATTGACCAGGTACCACTAGCCTGGTTTTACCATACCCTCGTACTTGTTTCGTACAGAGGGTACATCCCGGGAAAAAAAGATTTGACCGGAGTTTACGGATGGCAAAGGCCAGGCTAAGGTACCACAGAAAGCTGTCGCTTGTAGGTTTACAATCTTGTCCCTATCGGCATCCAGCAGAGTCCTGGGAAAACAACCCAAAGGCATGGCCCAGGCTCGAGTATCCAGACATATACAATTACCTCATCAAGTCCCCTGGTATGAACACCATGTGTACATACCATGTGTCCTACACTTGTAGTAATATTTAAATACCCATCAAGCATCGATAACATTAACTATGTTATGACATTCAAAAGCATTCTGTTACAATGTGGCTGTAATGAGCTCAGTCTGTCAGTGGCACAGCTTGTACAGTGTAAGTGAGGGACACAGTTTTTTTCAAAAGCCAAAAAAGGCTAACTGCAGAAATTCCACTTATTCCCCACACAACTAGTGCATTTCATTGTTGCTTATCGGTGTAGAGCTGCCGACCATTATGCATAGCGATGTCATAACATAGCAACAGAAAACAGTGGCATGGCATTGGTATTATTTTGTTATTCTTTGATTTGCCCCTCAATGTGTCCATTCATTTGAGATTACATTTCTATTTAAATTTTAAAGTAAAATGGCATACCCTCTATTCACACTTTTTATGACCGGTTATTTTTTGCAATAACCAGTCATCAGATTACATTTTATTATATTATATATGTAGTGTCTAACGACAACAGCAAGACTTTAACATTTCTAATGAGAAATAGTTTATTAGACATTGTATAAGTAGAAATACTAAAAGACGTGAAGATTGACATGAAAACATTTGTATCATTTACTTGCAATTTGTCAGTGTTTTTGCTCTGGTCAATTGTCACTCTCCTAGATGTGATATGTTAATGTATAAAAATAAAATTATTTCCCTTTCTTCATTTTCTTTTGTTTCAGGTGTATTTAGTATTATAATGGTGGAGACCGAATCATTGCTGATTTTGTCAATGCCTAATTCCGTCTGCTGCAGGTCTTGCATTTCCATGCAGGGTGTTGACACTTCTTGTTGCAACTCTTCTGGGACACTTGTCTCCTCAAATTCCAGTTGCTTCTTCACCTTCCTTTCCTTTCGTGATACTAGAGTAGTGGATGGTGCTGAAAAAAATAGATAAAAGGTATATATTTTGCAAATGATCACAGAAATTTTAAGTCATGGCCTCATATTTATAATAATAATAATAATGCATCAGTTTTATGTAGTGCTTTTCTGGACACTCAAAGACGCTTAACATTGCACTATTCATTCACTCCATACTTGGTGGTGGTAAGCAACTATTATAGCCACAGCTGCCCTGGGGTAGACTGACTGAAGCGAGGCGACCAGTCTGCGCCATCGGCCCCTCCGACCACCACCAACCACTCACTCACTCGGCTTCCTGGTGTTACTAAACGGCAGTATATTTAGTATTGAGTTGGATTGGGACGATAAGTCATAATAGTCGACTATGACTAGAAAGCAGCGACCAGTAGACTAGTTTTGTACTATAAATACCATCTTACCAAGATTTCCAGGCTAGGCATTATGTACAAAAATCTGCATGACTAGTTACTTTGTAGATGCAATGACTTTTTCATACAGGAGGTAATTTTGTTTTCAAGGAAAATACATTTGTTAGCAAAATCTGTATTTTTACACAGATTACCATTTTTGTAGCAGTTAACCTCCCAAGTACTACTTTTTCAAATTGGTCATTAGAAATCAACATGTATTTTTTATTTATGTATTTCATATGGGGGACAACATTCTATTTCACAAGGTGCTTGTATCAATTGTTGTACACAACCTCATTGCAATATGGAATCTTTTAATTCTTAACTGTGCATTGGAAATGCAGCTCATTATCTGCAGGTACGGTTTTACTGCAGTGTAAAATAAGAGCAAGAAACACAATTTGCTACTATATATATGTCTGCATAAACAAAATCGACTGCAATTTGTTAGTTTTAAATTTCAAGTGTTGTGTCAAACAAATTCAGATAATTTTTGGTCATTGATCTAGGAGCAAACTAGATGCATGTTGATCACACTACAGTTTGATGGGGTTTTTTTTCTGTTAACGATAGGGTACTGTGGGTAGCAAACTTACCTTTTCTTTTCTGTGCTCTCTTGAAGCGATCAAGTGTGGTACTCTTAGTCAATTCCTTCAGCACTGCTTGCGGGAAAATGGACGGAGTGTAATCTGGGTATGCGGGGTTGTTGTTCTTCTTTCCTGTTCAAGGAGCAAAGTGACAAAATCTAAAGATTCCCACTGAGTAGCTCCAAGCCAGCTGGAGCCATTTCTCTCTCCTTTCTGGCTCAGTTGCCTCGCTAGGGATCATGTAAAAGGATAGGTCACTCCTTTTTACGCTGTTGTTGGTACAACCAACAATACAACAGTTTTTCGGCATGTTTTGTAACGCTCGTTTGTCTTTCGCTTCGTGTTGCTTAATGGCGGGCGCTGGTTTGTTTTACCCTTCGCCGCGTTGCTATGCGCGCGCAGTGCATTATGGGAGTCCAAGTTCCCGGATGTCCGACCTCGAGAATCCCAATTGAGCTTTTCTAAAAAAAAGTTGCCGTTATTCTACAATGAAAATACAATGGATATGATGTCCATAATATTTGATATTGTTCTATTCTCAAGCAGATCTTCTAATCAAGAGAAGCTGAATGAGTCGGTCATTTGGGTTGCCAGTTTGCAAAATGTGAGATTCTTTATTACTTTTTATAACATTTACAAGGAATAAAATAGCACCACATATTTGTTTAAATGAAAGTAGATACAATTTTTTTTTTGCCAAACATAACACAAGTTTGTATGTCTTCTACATAAACCCCAGAAGATTAAGTATTTAATAATGCTGTTGCTCTTACCACTTAGAAGACATTTCCATAGTTCCTTTAAAAAAATCCTGTATCTATTAGGGGTGGGTGATATATACTCGTCATTAAAGAAATAAATGAAAAAAAGTGTTTCTTTTTTTTTTTTTACATATCTCCAATATATATTACAATTATAGCAGGAAAGATGCCCATTTGTCAAATGCGTGCCTAAAAAGCCAATCACTGCTTTATTTGTACAATTCAGTAAATATTGAGCAACCCTTTTTGGATGTGTTTTTCTTGTGTTACTTGAATGTGATGTTTAATGTTAATGTATGTTTGTGCATGTTTTGCAAAGATGTGCAAAAACACAAAAAGCTGCAATTTTGATCGACACTGTGTCTATCTATACAGTAGATGCCTTGGCAAGCAAACCATTGCAGTTTCATTTCCGAGAATTGCTAAAAATAAGATAAAACAAATCTCAAGAAAACATTAAGTTAAATGTAATATTATTCTTATTGTTGTATGTATGTTTCTGAAAGGTAAGGTAAGGTCAGAGGCGTCCCGTGCCAACAGGCAAGGCAGGCAGCTGCCTGGGGCCCCCAAACCGGCAGGGGCCCCCGAGGGACGACTGATTTGACACAAGCGGTCGACTTGTACAGGCCACAACAGGTACCTGCAGTGACGAGTTGCAATTTGACCGCCCGTCTCAAATCCCCTGATAGGGCCCCGCTCCTCTCGCCCCTCGCCCCACATGTGTCAGTGACAGAGGTGAGGTGAGCGGAGCGTGCAGGCAGCGTGCTATTTCTCCCAAAGCAAAACAAAGTTGTCCGACCAAATGAAGAGAAGTTATCCTTCTGGAAGCGATAAACGAAAGCGCAAAAAAGAGGAAGACGAGAAAAGAAAGCATGATAGCGGTGAGTGACTGACATCTAGTCTACATGACGCTCTTGGAACTAACTTGTTTGTTTGCGGATCACATCACAGCAACATTTAGCATGCTATTGTTAGCGTTTTGAAGGATTAATACACTTTGATAGCAGGTAGTGTTTTTAATTAATTATAACATGATGAGTGTAGTGAACAAGTTTATAAAAAGACATGCTAATTTATTTCTCATTGCTTTTCGTCACCAAAAACTTTTTAAAATACTAATTTTCTATGGTAGACTGTGCAGTATGCCAGGCAGGCCCCAGGCTTGTACATTTATTGTTAGAAATAAGAAATTGTCTACATTTTAATGTTAATGTAAACAATTAATAGATGTTGCATCTTTACTTACTAAATAATATATTTTTCCCCTTTTGCTCAGGATTGCTAAGAAAATGTTTAGTTCCCTCATCTTCTTCAAATCAGGAACATGCTTCTAGTTGTAAGTACTTTATCTATATATATTCTTACTTCTAAAGATATTTTATCAAAATACATTACGACGTTAATGCCATGTTTGATTTCTCTTTATCTTTAAGCTCAGTCTGCCGCTACACACACTACTACAGTCCCAAGTACTGCCACGCCAAGGTTTACTGCCCCCTCTACAGCCCTGGACAGCAGCGCTTCCTCCAGTGAGCAGCAGTCAGCTATATCCCGTACTGCAATGGTCAACATTTCGTCGCCTACCTCCATTGACCAAGAGGACCAAACAGAACCACAAGCACCCACTCCAGGTATGATATTAGTGCAATAATGTATTTAGTTAAAAAAATGCTTGAATTTTACACACTATGGCCCTTTGTAGTATCTACCATATCTAGTATTTCAAACAAATATAAGAGGTATACTTGAAAATAAATCAATATCTAAGTTGGTTTGTATTTTGAAGATGTGTAAATTAAAAATACATAAATAGTAATGTAAATATGGACATAATTAGCAAGCCATCTTTAGCAACAATTGTAATTGTAAAGGCTGTAAAAAGAGACTAAACATAGTGTTTGTTCAAGTAATGATATCACATCAGGATTATTTATGGTTATTGTGTTTTTCTTTTGAGAATTCATGTGTTTTTTTTAATTGGTTTCAGCTCAAACGACATCCACAGACCAAGAAAAAGCAACACCAATAAGATTGACATCTTCTGATCCTGGACAGTGGCCTGATGTTCTTAATGATGGTGAAAAGAGTTCCCTGGTGAAAAAAGGTCCTCTTCAGGTGACGGATATTGTTTTTCCTCAAAGCAATGAACAAAATCCTCGGAGATTCACAAAGGAAAATTATTACATGGTCATGAGAAATGGTGAAAAAATAAAGCGAACATGGCTAGTATATTCAAAATCGACCGATTTGCGGTCGTTTTGCTTTGCTTGCAAAATATTTGGCAAAAAGGACAATAATGCTCTAACTAAAGGAGGGTTTAAAAACTGGAAAAACCTTGTTGCACATTTAAAAGAGCATGAATATTCCAAACCCATATAAATAAAATGAAAAGTTGGCATGAGCTCCAGATAAGGTTAAAAACAAAATCTGCTCTAGATCAAATACACCAGGATCTATTGCACCTTGAGGAGCAGCTCTGGAAAACAGTAATCCACAGGATTATTGCTATAATATGCAAGTTCTACAAAGAAGTATTGTCACAGAGTTGAGAACCTATAAGCGTTATTGTTTAGTTGTTAATTATGTTTTCATAATATTGTTGTTCCGCTGATCTTTGTTGTTAGTATTTTGTCAATTCTGTTTCAACTTTATGATGCAAAATAAATAATATTTATATCTACTGCAGTATTAACCTTTTTATGTGGTTATATGGTCGGTATCAGGGCCCCCAAGGACTCTTTTGCCTGGGGCCCCGGGGTACCCTTGGAACGCCACTGGGTAAGGTAAAGGGACCTATTTACATAAAATATGACACACATAGCTTCTGTTTTTCAGAATTTCAGAATTTTCCATAACATAAAAACTTCATCTTGACTGCAATTTCATAAAAAAGAAAACATCTCATTTGCATTCAGGATGTGCCTCTTAAGTTTTCTGCTGCAGAGTTGTATAACAAATGCTTTGAAACAGCCCGTCCCTTCTTCACCTCCCTACGCTGAAGCAAGGCAGTGATGGGATTCCCTTCGCAGCGGATGAGAGAGCAGGGAGGACGCTTACATAAGGAGCAGAGGATGAGGAGGATGAGGAGGGGCAGCTGAAGGTGCTGCAGTCTCCAGAGACAGCACATGACAGGGAGAAAAGGACACAATAGATAGAAGGAACACTACGTCACTTCTCTGTTGAAAGATCCACTATACACATGTCTCCTATTTCAGTTTCACAGTGTACGAGATTATATTTATTTATCAATTGAGATCAGGAGTTGGTCCCAGGGTCAGTCAGAGATCAGACCTGGGCTGCAGCAAATAGCTCAAAGATACAATCAGGTATTTGCGATAGCATTAAAACAGTTGGATGTGGGTGTGAAGCTATCAATAATTAGTTTAATGGCACTCTAATTCCAAGTAAAACAAAGTCTCCTGCTGCCTGGGCATGTACATGCAGTTTTAGTTAGTTAGAGAGAGAGAGAGAGAGAGAGAGAGAGAGAGAGAGAAATACTTTATTGATCTCACAGAGAAGAATTGTCTTATTAGAAGAACCTAACAAGCCGTAAACATACAGTACCTTGCTAAAGTATTCGGCCCCCTTGAACCTTTCGCCACATTTCAGGCTTCAAACAAAAAAAAAATATGTTTTTGTCAAGAATCAACAACAAGTGGGACACAATCGTGAAGTGGAACAAAATTTATTGGATAATTTAAACTTTTTTAACAAATAAAAAACTGAAAAGTGGGGCGTGCAATATTATTCGGCCCCCTTGCGCTAATACTTTGTAGCGCCTTTGCTGCAATTACAGCTGCAAGTCGCTTGGGGTATGTCTCTATCAGTTTTGCACATCGAGAGACTGGAATTCTTTCCCATTCTTCCTTGCAAAACAGCTCGAGCTCAGTGAGGTTGGATGGAGAGCGTTTGTGAACAGCAGTCTTCAGCTCTTTCCACAGATTCTCGATTGGATTCAGGTCTGGACTTTGACTTGGCCATTCTAACACCTGGATACGTCTATTTGTGAACCATTCCATTGTAGATATGGCTTTATGTTTTGGATCATTGTCCTGTTGGAAGATAAATCTCCGTCCCAGTCTCAGGTCTTTTGCAGACTCCAACAGGTTTTCTTCCAGAATGGTCCTGTATTTGGCTCCATCCATCTTCCCATCAATTTTAGACATCTTCCCTGTCCCTGCTGAAGAAAAGCAGGCCCAAACCATGATGCTGCCACCACCATGTTTTACAGTGGGGATGGTGTGTTCAGGGTGATGAGCTGTGTTGCTTTTACGCCAAACATATTGTTTTGCATTGTGGCCAAAAAGTTCCATTTTGGTTTCATCTGACCAGAGCACCTTCTTCCACATATTTGGTGTGTCTCCCAGGTGGCTTGTGGCAAACTTTAAACGAGACTTTTTATGGATATCTTTGAGAAATGGCTTTCTTCTTGCCACTCTTCCATAAAGGCCAGATTTGTGCAGTGCACGACTGATTGTTGTCATATGGACAGACTCTCCCACCTCAGCTGTAGTTATCTGCAGTTCATCCAGAGTGATCATGGGCCTCTTGGCTGCATCTCTGATCAGTCTTCTCCTTGTTTGAGATGAAAATTTGTAGGGACGGCCGGGTCTTGGTAGATTTGCAGTGGTCTGATACTTCTTCCATTTCAATATAATTGCTTGCACAGTGCTCCTTGAGATGTTTAAAGCTTGGGAAATCTTTTTGTATCCAAATCCGGCTTTAAACTTCTCCACAACAGTATCTCGGACATGCCTGGTGTGTTCCTTTGTCTTCATGGTTCTCTCTGCGCTTTAAACAGAACCCTGAGACTATCAAAGAGCAGGTGCATTTATACGGAGACTTGATTACACACAGGTGCATTCTATTTATCATCATCAGTCATTCAGGACAACATTGGATCATTCAAAGATCCTCACTGAACTTCTGGACTGAGTTTGCTGCACTGAAAGTAAAGGGGCCGAATAATATTGCACGCCCCACTTTTCAGTTTTTTATTTGTTAAAAAAGTTTAAATTATCCTATAAATTTTGTTCCACTTCACGATTGTGTCCCACTTGTTGTTGATTCATGACAAAAAAATAAAATTTTATATCTTTATGTTTGAAGCCTGAAATGTGGCGAAATGTTGAAAGGTTCAAGGGGGCCGAATACTTTTGCAAGGCACTGTAAGAAGACAGAATGAATTTTCCACATTCACAGAGAAGAAATTCAGGTGGCCTGCAAACACATCTTTGCGATGCACCCCCTCCCCGCCTGGTAGTTGCTTCAGTCCTGCACCGCACCTTTCCTCAACCGCTGCGAGGCCTTGGTCCTCGTTCTGTACCTTAGGTCCTGGATCTTTAGCCCGTCCGTCCGTGTGGAGCGGATCCCTCTCTTAATGTGGAACCCCCTGAGGTTCCACAAGAAGGACTGTGGTGATGATCCAGGAGGACACTTTAATATTCTACAACATGTATGGACATTTATCAACATTGGTCTCTCCCTATGGACTAACTCACAATGAATTCAAATGGATTCTATCTGAGAACCCTTTGGAGGACAAAGAAATTGGCTGAGCACATTGTGAAGATGAGGTCCTGTAGTTTTGGCTTCTGGTGGCTCATTTATTCTGAGTGAACAATCTCTGTCCAGAGATACAAACTCCAATGTCTTCCCAAATGTCCCATGCTGAAAATAGAGGTTAGAGGGTGGAGAGGGGAAGTGTAACGGCACAAAATGGGGACCCAAAAAGTGACACCAGTGAAAACGGGAAAAAATATATATATATTTTGGAGTGTGAGGCGAAGCCGGAAGGATCAGAGGCAAACTTGAAGTGGCAGACTGAGGAACAGACAGGAACTGCCAAAGAACAAAAACAAGGTAAGTGCAAGAGTCAAAAATAGCACAGCAAGTTTTGGCCAAAGTTGGAATTCACCTCTCAGCAGACAAAGCAGTCTGGCACTAACAGGCTGTGAAGCTGGGCCCTTGTAGTCTGCGGGGGATGTTGCCCTAGGTGTGTACAGCAGACCCCACCCCTGCACTCACGCAGAGGGAAGGGAGACGAGTCACAGACTGGAGTGTGACAGGAAGGCTCCATCTGACACATTTTGGTCTTTCTAAACTCCTCCAATGTTCAGAGAAAATAGATTTCAATAATCTTAATGACAATATCTGCATAGGTGCATTCATGTTCTTGTATTCTATTTCTTTATAGAATACAACTTTATTAGAACAAAGTATTTTTACAAGACATTTTGAGACATTTTGAGCTGACAGTATTAGATTCACAAACTTGTCATATTATTATTATTATAAGTCTTTTCTACTGGCCAACATCAGCCATGTGTTTAATGAAGAGTTACATGGCACACCTTCATGAGAAAATTATATTATTAGAATTCATTGATTTGTTCTAACACAGAATTTGTGGATCTTTGTGACTTTTCATTTCATGTGGATTGGCCCAGGAAGTTTTTTTTAACTCTCAACTCCCATTGAGATTAAAAACCTCTTTTTCAAGGGAGTCCTGGACAATTTTTTTTTTGTTTTTAAACAGAAATGTAGAAATCTGACTTTTACAGTTACCATTGTTACCAAGAAAGATTTATCCCAACCCCACCCCTCCTCGTTAAACCAGCGGTTCTTTGGGATGTCGAGATGTCACATAAACGCAAACTATTGTTTTTACTGGAATGTGTACATAGTTTGATTGAATAACCGTGTTGTAAAAAAATAAAAATAAAAATTTGAATGTGTAACTTGGCTGTGTTTAATGTTTTACTGTAGTGCAGGCATGTCAAAACTAAGGCCTGTGGGCCAAATGCAGCCCACCGTGTCATTTATGTGGCCCTATGCCTTGCTAACACAAAGTAGCCATCGATATATTTTATTTGTATAGACTGACATTTGTTTATGATAGTGTGACAACAACAAAAATGTATCTGTGATATGAATTAATAAAGGCAATTATTATGTCCCATTTCAAAACAGATTACCCCAAATCCAATCAAGTTTTACAATACACAACACGATATTGGCGCATAAGTTTGGACACCGCTGATGTAGTGCAACCAATGCCAGCGTGTGCATCTATACCCCACTCTTGTGTTTTGCACATCTGTCCAAAGCAGACAGTCACATGGGCAAGTATATGTGGCCCCCTCTCCTCTCTGGTTTCTTGTAAATGCTGATGCCCTCCACTCTGGCCCATGTGGAGGGGGAGTTTGTCATCACCTCTGAGTTCAAGAAGTCCAGGGCGAAATGTGCTCACCTGCAGATAGTAATCATTCACAGGAGAAACGATCCATGCTGTCACTGACGCTGCTATCTTTAGGGCGCAGGGATATTGGCCTGATACTCTGTTGCATCATGCTCCACACATTTTGGGGAAGAAAGGGTAAGAATGTAAAAGAATAGATACAAGGCTGTATTTGTGGTGTTAAAATAAAAATTATTAACTTTGTCTTGAAATTGTCTTGACTTGAAATTATATCGACAGTGTATAATACGGTCAGACAGTATTATGGGTAATTTCCCAAATTATTGACTATAATTGAAATACTAAGACAGGAAAAAAAAACAAAAAACTATAATAATAAAAACTTAGGTCTATTTTTGTTGAACAATTCTGTAACATGGTTGAAATCTGAAAAGATTCCGTCATTTTTGCATAATATCATTTTAGAGAAACATACATTTAATACATTAAAACAATTGAATAATGGAGAAAAGTATGCAACCACTTGCAATGCTAAGATGGTAAAACAATAGAAACCTATTTGCCTCCTTTCAATAGCAATACAATGTTACAGAGATAATGATTCACATTTATGATTGTTTTGAGATTTTAGATGACCCCAGTGACAGACGATTATCCATTAACTTAGGTTTTAAATAGGGTTTATGGGGCAGAAACTCCCCATGATCACCAAAGGCAAATAACGACCCTTTTAAACAGGAATATCAAATGAATAAGAGTATACTGGTGATGCAAAGTGTACCCAACAAAAACTACCAT